TTTTGTATTTGGGGGGGGGGGGAACAAAACTTACCATGACTGCTGTCTTGGACCCCATGTGAGCCGCAATTGCCGTCCAGTCAGAGCCGAACGATCGCAACAGGAGCGGGAAGTCATTAGATTCAGAAACACTCCAGTAGCTTGAGGCCTGCGCCGGAGCCTTGCGCTCGGTTTGAGGCTGGGCAAGATTGAATGTCGTTATTGCAGGCTGCGGAGGAGGTGGTGGTTCCGGGCGCAGTGAAGGAGCAGCCATAACATCTGAGATTGACGGTGGAGGGATGGCCTTGACCCGTTCCATACCTGGAATGGCCTGCTGCGGCTGCGGCTGCAGCTGCTGTTGCTGTTGAGACTGTTGCTGTTGCTGTTGCTGTTGCTGTTGTTGCAGCAGCAGCTGCTGCTGCTGGACGGGGAACGACGGATGAATCCCAGAAGGTACAGTCTGATCGAATCCAGCTGTTGGCGCGCGACCGGCATCTGGAGGCATGCCTGTGGTTGGGATATCAGCTGGTACTCGGGAACTAGACCGAGACCTGCCTTTTCCAGAACCACCTCCAGGTGTCACGGACAGGGATTGGTTGGCTTTAGATGCCTTGGCGTCCTTGTCCTTGTCCTTGTCCTTGTCCTTTTCCTTATCCTTGTCTTTGTCCTTGTCCTTATCCTTGGCACGCCTGCGACCTCTCCGACCGTCCACCTTCTCACCTTGCTCTCCTCGAGCAGCTGCCGAAGCCCCGCGACGTCCAGGCGTTCCGGCGGGAGTTGCATTCTCGCTGTCTGTTGCCGGCTGCTCGAATCCCCATGTTGGGGCGGCAGCACGGCGCGGTCTTCGACGCTCTCCATTCTCGCCAGTTTCTTGGCTCTCCTCGGTTCCTTCGTCGCCATTCCCAAGCTCCGAGACCAAGGCACTCGATCTCTGCTTGCCTCGTCCGCCCTTCTTTCGCCGCTTAGGCTGCTTCTTGAGCTTCTCTTTCAAGTTGAGATCCTTCTTCATCAGGTAGTAATACTGAATGCAAGTGCCAAAGTCACGATGCGGTATAATTTCAGCAATCTTGCCCCACTGCTTGGGGTTCTCGAGGTAGCGCTTCTCAAACAGCTCGTTCTCTTCCTCGGTAAAGTTGTTGAGGGGTGGCAGGACGTGCCATGCCGAGACTAGACGGTCTTGCGGTGTGTAGCCAGATCGGTCCGTATATTGAGCCTTTGCTCTCTCCTCGGCATCCCAGTACATCTCCGGAATTACTGCCTCTTTTTCGCTGCGATACTTTTCCTTTTGAGCCCTCAACTCACGCTCCTTCCTCTCCTCGTCCTCCCGCATGGATGCTTGCAAAACCCGCTCCAAGTCACGTTCCGAAGCAAACCTCCTGCCAGAGCTACGCCCTTCTGGTTTAGGCTCAGGCGTTACCGTACCAGTGGGCTCAATCATAGGGACCGCGACCGAGAATTTGTCCCTGCTCTTCACAGCCGCCGGATCGCTCGAAAGTGTAAACTTCAGATAGTCAATATACCTGTTGGCGTAAACCTTGCGCGCTTGCTCTTGCTGGGTAGATTCCTCAAGATGAATTTTGTCCAGGTGTTCCATAACATATTCGTCAATGATGGGATCAGTGTCGAATGTCGCCAATAAGTCCTTGTCTCTCACCCAGCTGTCGCAGCTGTAGTCGGGCAGACTGTCAATGGGCGGCGTTGTCATGAATCGACGCACCGTCTTCAGGTCCAAGTATGCCTCGTCCTCAGATTCGGTTTCATCGTCATCATCAGGTATTTGCGAAGGAGTGCTAGGAGGTTTTGAGGCAGCTTCGGTCGCTTCTGGGATCGATTCGGGAGGTTGTGACGGCTGTTTTGTGCCTTCACGTGCAAGAATAGAAGTACCAGAAGTAGAGGCGCCGGACCTCGACACCGGGCGAGATGATGGTTTGCTGGCCACTGCATCCTTTGATTGAACATCACTGGCCGGTACAGAGGGAGCCCGAGGAGTGTCAAGGTCCATCTCCTCCGTCTTCGTAATGGGCTCAGGAACCGTGTCGACAACCTCGGGCTTGGCGACTTCTTCGGTTTCCACCTGGGCCGTCTCTTCTACGGGGGTTTCAATGAGTGCTGCCGTAGCATCAACATCCTTGGTTGGTGCCGGTACTACATCATGACTCTTGGTCAATTCGACATCCAGGGTCTCGGTGACCGGTCCTAGAACATCTGTCAAACCTTCGCTTTCGTTCAATATTCGCGCCATCGACCCATGAGACAAAGCGGCGTACCGCGCAACGACTTCGGTAGGTAGGCTTGGTTTTGGTAATTTGGCAAGTTCTGCTTCCGTCTTTTCAATTTCCATGTTGAAGTAATCAGCCATGTCCTCATCGTCGTCCGACTCCGAATCCTGATCTTTGGGTGCAGCCTTGGGAGGCAGAGAAAATCGCACAACACCAATAGCGGGGCGTTTTCTCGCTCGTTTTATCACCTGTGCTGGCTTGATTGCGGTATTACTCGCTGTGCTTGGGCGGTGGTCGTCCTTGAGAGACTGGCCAGTTTCAGGCGTCTTTGTTGGTTCCAGCGTCACGGAACCCCTTTCTGATTCAGACTTGACCGTGATTTCGCCAGGCTCGGCACTGTGATTTGATCTAGCCCTATTGTCGAAATTACCGTATCCGCGAGGGTCAGAGTCTGCATCACTACTGCGAGGTCTCCTTTGATCAAAATGGTGATGATCGCTTTCCCTGCTATCCCGCCGTGGAACTGAACCTGACTGTGCGAATGTCTGGGGCCTCATCATCTTGGGCGACACGGGGGCTTTCTTGAGATCCGGGTTGATCCATTGTTTGCTTGAAGGCCGTTGCTGATGCGCTCGAGGTCCCACAGGGATGGAAGGGCCGTCATGGCTTCCCGCTCTTATCGGACCGCTAACAGGGGCTGAGGACTCCATTGGCGCAGAGTTTCCAGCAGATCCGGGGCGGTCGGTGAGAGCTCGCGGAGCCAAGGGAGGAAGTTTGCCACCACCACTTGTTGTCGCCGGTACACCGTCACCGCCAGTGCGACTGGGAACGGATCCAAATGCTGGGGCCGAGGGTGCGACAGGAGGCGGAGAAACTTCACGACCTTGAGCAGACGTCTCTTGGGATATTGAAGGACGTCCTTCTTTCTTGGGGCGTATCAGATCGCGGTCACTGCGCTCACGGGGGTCATCTCGGGGATCGCGCCTGATAATGTCCGCCTCTGGTGGGTATCTATCGCCGCGGTCACGGTCGTCACGATCCCGGTCCCGACCCCATCGAGCCTCTTGAGATCGACTTCGGGGATAGCGATCGCCGCGATCTTCGTAAGTTGCTCGTCCTCGCCCGCGGTCCGACGCCCAGTCACCTCTTCCCCTTCCTCGTCCACCACGCATGAAGCCACCGCCGCGTCCAAAAGGAAGCATTCCAAAGGGTGGATCAGAATTTGATGAGCCAGCCGATGGAGGACCGCCGTCTCTGGATCCACGACGAGATCTATCAGCATCCGGTAGGAGAGGGCCATCTCTGTCTCTGTCGCGGAAATCTCGCGGCGGCGTTCGACCTCGTCCAGGAGGGGGTGAGCGGCGAGACCTGAAGTCTCGCGATTCCCTCCAATCTCGGTCTCTGTCCCGGTCCCGGTCCCGATCCCGATCCCGATCACGCTCCCGATCACCCTCCCGATCACGCTCCCGATCACGCTCCCGATCACGCTCACGCTCACGCTCGCGACTACGGTCGTCCCGATAACGGTCCCTGTAGTCTATATCGCGATCCCTCCCACGATCCCTGCTTTCGTCTCTGGATGGCCAAGCTCTGCCTCTGCCTCGTCCTCGACCGCGAAAGTCACCGCCAAACGCACCTCCTCTGGGACCGCTAGGGGCGTCGACAAGAGCTTTGGGGCCTCTTGGGGGCTCCCTCCGCAGGGAGTCCCCAAAGCCATCGCGATTTGGCGGGAATCCTGACGTGTTAGAGCGGGCTTCGGCGGACGAGCGGCGACGATCATTGTCGCCGTATTGAGAGGCTCTGTCAAAGCGGTCTGGAGATCTGTCTCTCGGCGATCTTGACCGGCGTTCCGGATCGTACCTAGAATACCTAGACGCCCTGGGAGGGAGGTTTGATGTCTTAGCATATTATTTCAAAATTTTCAGCTTCCAGATTAAGCTTTGCGGCCATGCACGAGCCAAGTCAACCGCACTAAGCCCGGTTGCTTTTTGAGTTCAACGGGCCAGCCTTGCCCGAATATAAACAAACAAGGGACTTGCACATACATTTATCGTGTACACATGCAAATGGCCCGGTATCCTCGGCGCAACAGGGCGATTACGATCGCATCCGGGTGCAGAGGCGGTGGTGTTGATTCAATGCGGCCGCGGGTTTCGGGATAACTATGTGGTTGGCGTCGGGGGTGGTGGGTTGCGGTTCTGCGGATTGCGAACCAACCGCAGCCACGGGGGGGTGTCAAATGACCCCTTCGAGATTTGGCTCGACAAGACTGGCGACACAGACGACGTGGATTACTGCGCGAGTCGGGGCGGCGGCGAGCGCGTCAACGCGGCAGAGTAAGCGGTAAAATGGCCAACCGGGACGCCTGACATGTGCTGAATGGTGCTTCGACCGGCCGGCAGCGTGCGACGAGCAGAAATTATCGAAAAGGCAGTCGGATGGGAAGATGGATGTAAAGTGCAAGATGCCCCAGCTGCGCCCCGTCAACCCGTCCATGTTCAATTGTGTGTCTGTCCTGGCGCTTAATTGCCAAGGCAATAAGAACGAAACTGCCGCCGTGGCGCTAGTCTATTCTCGGGTACTGGGCCACTTGACGGTGATTGGGCCGTGTGCTGAGCGACCTTGGCTGGGTTCAAATGTTGGGTCTTTCGATTTCAATGGGAGTGTTGAGACGATGACTGCCCTCGATCAAGCGTAAAAAAAGAAAAAGGAGACACGGAGCTAGTCTGAGCTTATTAATGTATGAAATCATAAAGGCTAGAATGTTGCGCTTAATATTGACGGATGCTCCAAGCCCTGTTTCCGGCGCAGCCATGATGCATATCCTTATCAAGTTGGTCCCGACACCAGTCAGCGTTCCAACGTTGATATCAGGTCCAATTGATCGGGTCTGCAGCCGCTCGCGTGGCCAGTCAGTGGCAGGAACCAATTAATTAGTCCAACCAGGCTCAACATCGACGGCCGTTGCCGAGTTACACATGTACAAAGCAGATGCCCGGGCTTGTACGGAGTACAGAGGGCCCAGGTGTCAAGCACGCACGTACTGGGTACTGGGTACTGGGTACTGGGTACTGGGTACTGGGTACTGGGTACTGGGTACTGGGTACTGGGTACTGGGTACTGGGTACCTACCTACAGTGGGTACAGGTAATTCCGAGTTTAGCCCTATTTTACACTAAAACTCTTACTTTTTAAGTGCTTATAATTATATTATATCTTATTATATTAAATAAAAAAAATATTTTTGTATATTTAAAATTACTTAAAGATTATATATATATAAATTTTTTATATTAAATTTTATTATTTAATATAATATAAAGCTTTAAAGTTAATAAAAGTACTTTTACTAAGTACTTAGGCCGCCGGCAACATCAATCGATGCCCGCCATCAACCGTAGAGAGCGCCCTGTGCCTGGACCCTGCTGGTGCACTCCGGATGCCCTGCTTGCCTGCCACAGTGGCTTGCCCACTATTCCCCTGCGACGTTGAGCTGCCGAAAAATTCGACACAATGCAAATGTGGATACCAAGTACTTTGTAACTTACTGTCCGAATTTCAAGACTCACAGCTTCGCCATCACGAGCCGCGATAGACACAATATCAAAGCGCGAAACCATATGAAATAGCCTGCCACTCACCCGCTCGCCACTCCTCACAACACAACATCATACCCCAGCCGCCATCATGGCCCAGGATGCGCCGCCCTCACAGGCCACCGATGCAGTGCTCGTGAAGTCAGAAGCCATGCCCGAGGGCTCGCAACCCGTTGAAGAGCTCGACTTCAACAAGCTCAAGCGGCCCATTACCGCAGAAGACCTCTTCCTCGGCATGCGGCACATGGGCTTTCAGGCATCAAGCATGGCTGAAGCTATCCGAATCATAAACGACATGGCAAGTAGACATGCTCCATCCTCTCTTCACCTCTTCTCCCCCACCATCACCAGCTAATAAAAGCATGCATCCGCAACAACCCTCCTCCCGGCTTTTCCAAACGATAAGCCGCTTCTAACAATCCCAACAGAGAGAATGGAAAGACCCAGATACTTCTGAGAAGACAACCATATTCCTGGGCTACACGTCCAACCTTATCTCTTCCGGGCTCCGCGGCACCCTCCGCTGGCTCGCCCAACACAAACACATCTCAGCAATCGTTACTACAGCCGGCGGCATAGAGGAAGACTTCATCAAGTGCCTCGGCAGCGGGACAACATACATGAGTTCCTTCTCCGCGCCCGGCGCTGACCTCCGCAAAAGGGGTTTCAACCGCATCGGCAATCTCGTCGTCCCCAATGCCAACTACTGCGCCTTTGAAGACTGGGTCGTCCCCTTACTGGACAAGATGCTCGAGGAGCAGGAGGCCAGCAAAGGCACCGACGAGGAAATCAACTGGACGCCCTCGAAAATCATCCACAGGCTGGGCAAGGAAATCAACGACGAAAGATCCGTCTATTACTGGGCGTGGAAGAATGACATCCCCGTATTCTGTCCGGCTTTGACGGATGGCAGTCTGGGAGACATGCTGTACTTTCACACCTTCAAGGCGTCGCCGTTGCAACTAAAGATCGACATTGTGGAGGATATACGCAGGATAAATACCATTTCGGTGAGGGCCAAGAGGGCGGGCATGATTATTCTGGGAGGTGGTATTGTGAAGCATCACATTGCGAATGCTTGTTTGATGAGGAATGGCGCCGAGAGCGCTGTGTACATTAACACCGCGCAGGAGTTTGACGGCAGCGATGCCGGCGCCCGGCCTGACGAGGCCGTTTCCTGGGGCAAGATCAAGATAGGCGCGGACAATGTCAAGGTAAGTCTATGCAATGCCATGGAGGGTTGCGATTTAGCATGCTAAACAATTTCAAGGTACACATGGAGGCTACTGCTTGCTTCCCATTTATCGTTGCCAACACTTTTGCCAAAGAGTTGTAATGAAATGGCCGCACTGGTGACTAGTCGTCGCCAGTGGTCGAATTAATACACGATAGCCAAGGATCCCATATTCTTCTGAGTACCATCGCTCAGGACTCCTGTTTCTGGTCGGGGCAATCAAAGCCGACAAGGACTTTTCAGCGTGTCATATACTATTTGACTTTATTTTTTTTTTATCAGCCGCATTTGTTTTACTGTCCAATCCGCGATAGACCTGGGACAGCCAATATATCACGAAGAGATGCTATTATATCTACTGTAATGTGCTGGCGTGTGGCTGTATCGTACTTGGGAACTCGGCACACACGGTAGCAGACTGTGAGTACGATGCTTCAATTCGTACTCTATCATTCACCTCTGATTTTGCATCACCTCATCGATCCTAAAGAAACACTGAAATAACGTGGGCACATTCTAGTACGTAGCATCTATTGCTTGTATCGATGAGGTCCAAGCTGATTTGGCGCAGATCTAAGCTTAGGCAGGTCTCAGACAAAAAGCAATAATCTCGCCATGCGCCACAGGGGATCGTCCATGTGGCCTAACTAGCCGATTATTCTAAACGGATTGCAAAGATTTCATTTCACCGTGAAGACTGAAGAATAGTAGGCAGACGATCGAGGACGCGCACTTGTTTGAGTACCCTAAACGTAAACCGCCTCTCAGAATTCTTGCACCCCTTCACGTCAAGAGTCGTTTGCCACGGGGCCACACAACGACCTAGCAACCAATTTCGCGTTTACATCACTGCACATACGTGTTCATCTCTTCTCCTACCCTGCAGAGATTATCCTTCATTGCCGACCAAGTCCCTGAACGCAGCCAGTGCAGACGCCCAGTTGGAAGCTCCAGGCCCTTCAGCCCATACGCCCACCTTTTCCAGTCCCTCCAGGTCCTCCTTCATATGAGACTCGTTTGTCGTCCCGTCCAAAACCACAACACCTTCCAGTCCAATCACCAACGCATAGTACGCGGCTGCAACTTCAACACCAGCACCTTGGCTCACCAGCTTCACGGGCTCGCTCCTCGCCAGCGCCGGGTTGGCGCTCAAGGTCCAAAACGACTGGAATACAATTTTCTTGCCGCGACAATAAGCACGGAGCTTCGTCTCGTATTCCGTGCCGTCGTAGAAGCGGTTCTGCACCACCGACGGCTTGACGGTCATGTTGGTGTAGAGGGCTTCAAGCACGCGCAGGGTGGTGTTGGATATGCCGATGTTGCGGATCGTTCGGGGGTGGTAGGACTCGAGAGTCTTCCAAACCGTCATGGTGTCCTGGATCGTGTCCATGGGCGAGTGAAGCACGACGCTGTCCAGGTATGGCTCTTCCCCTTCAATGGTGAAGTTTCTCAGTGAGGAGCGAATCGACTGGTCGACCTTTTCGGCTAGAGGGGCATTGAGGTCATATGGCGCCATGTGGTTTTGGCCCCCTGGAGCAGTAAATTTGGTTTGAATCTACGACATGTGTAGGTCAGTCGTATATGCTATTACTCAGCTCCCTCGATGGATGTGGTGCATACGAATAGGTTTCCGCGCTTAATGATGCCTTGGGCAATGGCACGCTTCACACCGGTAGCCACGCCGAGCTCGTCGTAGTGCTTGGGCTGCGCAGCCGTGTCGATGCCACGAAACCCGGCCTTCAGCGCGGTATATACCAGGTCGGCGGTCCTTTCCTTCTTCCACGCCGTGCCATATACCAGCTTGGGGATCGTGGTGGCGGACTGGCCGGCCAGGGTCAAGTCCTTGGCGAGGCGAGAAGCCTGGGATCCTACGCCAGCTTGAGCCATGACGAAAACTGCGAAAACTGGAAGCTGGGAAGGAAACAAAAAGTGCAATCTAGCACGGGAATCTTGCCAGAAGTGTGGCCAGCGTCGGAGTTGCAAAGTGAAGCAAGTGGTCCTGGGCGCCGACATGATTGGGTAAAGCTCTCAGTTGATTAACGACCACTCCAGCCCCATTCCGAGCTCCGAGGTATC